CACGCACACACACAAATACAAAGAATTTTTATGTCCGTCTTTCAGACTACCATCGGTTGTGGTGGGAGGAACAGCGTCGGGCAAAAGGCGTGGGGGAGGAGAGTCAGGATCCATTGAGGGAGCAGCGGGATGGAGGAGGGAAGTCAACATCATGAAGGAAGGAGGGCGATCGGCCGGGAAGAATCGGGTAGTGGATAGGGTCAGGTATGAAGCGATGGAGCAGAGGGTCAAGCCGAAAAGTGATAGGGCTGATGCAATCGCTATGGGGGAGGTGGGGGAATAGATCATAGAAGCCCGTCAGGGGGGAGCGGCGACTGGTAGAGGGGGCAGGGGAAAAGGAAGGGGAAGGAGGGAATGTGAGGAGATACGGATGATGGCGGCGTAAGAGGGGGAGATGGGGGAACGAAGGGCGAGGAGGGAATGTGAGAAGTTAGGGTGAGAAGGGGAGATAATGGTGGCTTGGGGCACAGGGAATGGTGCGAGACTGGGGGTTGAGGGCGCATGGCAAGGAATGCGAGCATATAGCGTCTCTCTCTCTCCTCTCTCTCTCTCTCTCTCTCTCTCTCTCTCTCTCTCTCTCTCTCTCTCTCTCTCTCTCTCTCTCTCTCTTGTCTGTCTGGGAATCGGAATGAGGGGAGGCCCAGGAAAGGCAGAAGGGTGATCCAGAGGACAGAGGACGAATCAATGCGGCCCATATTATTCATTTCTGAAGCCCATGTGGATGCATGTACGGAGGAGAAAAAGAGAGAAACGAAAACAGGTAAAGCAATCACGGGGAAAAAAAGGAGAACATAATAAAAGACAGAGCAACCCAGTCCACATGGGTGTGCGCTACACCCGTGCACTGTTGATGAACACATCTAGGATGTAATGAGATGAAAAAACATAGCTCTGAATTATCTGGGCCTGATCAGTTGGACGATGATACCTCAAGGTTGTTGCCATTGAAACGTAAAAGATAGATGCAGAAGGGAGGCCGAGATGGAAGGTGGGGAAAAGGATAGGAGATCGTACGGACGGGTTAGGACAGAAGTGGGAATGGGATTCAGGATCATTATCCAGGGAAGGGTTTGGCCGCATGAGCGATTGACACGTGGCACAACGGTGTTGACACCCGCGAACGAATGGGTGGATCCCTTCTCTTCGTCTCCTCCCTCTGCTCCTGGCACGTTTTAGTTGGTTGTCCAAGGCACACCGCGTGTCTGGCCATCTGATGCAGATAGCCTCACCTCCCTGACCCGCATTCCTCTTCACCTCTGTGTTTCAAACATCTCTCGGTCACTTGACCGTATCATCACCCGCTTCGCAGCCTCTCTTTCCGCTGTACTAATAAGTCACTAGTCCCCGATTGTATAGTACATAGACTTCCCTCCTCCCAGGTATGTCTTCTCGATTAATTCTCTTGTCTTTGGCTCTTCTCCTTCCACTTGTCAGAGTTCTCCCTTTCTTGCAAAACAACAAAAAATAAGAGCAATAAAAAAAAAAAAAAATCCCTTCACAACCGCTTTTAAGGACTGCTTCTAGCCCTGTCCCTAGAGCTTTCACACACTAAATGAGGGAGCCTCAAGGGATAGGGTTAACAATGCAATCCAAAAGATTTAAGTCCATGACCGAAGAAGATATTTTAAAAGAAAGTAGGAACCAACCGGAACTCAAACTCATCTCATGGAACGTAAACGGGCTGGCCTCCGTTTTAGACAACCCGATCAAATGGAGAAACATAACAGAATCCATAGGGTGGTTCGGCTCCACGCCCCCAGACATAATTTGTTTCCAAGAAACACACCTGACTAACAGCACAAAACACACAAAAGTAAGATTGGCTATTGAACAAAAACTAAAATTTGTCAAAACAGCAATCTGATCACATGCAGCATCTAATGGCTCCGCAGGAGTAGTCATCCTCCTCCACCAAAACTCTCGGGCTAGTCATAACATCAGAATTGATCATTATTGTCAAGTCAACGATACTGGTAGGTGGGTAAAGATAGACATCACATTCAAAGAGGAAGAGTTGTCCATTCTAGAGGGCTATACGGCCCAACTACATATCAGGATAAAGGTCCTTTCCTTCAATCAATAGAATACTTAATCCCTAACTACACACATACAATCATCATGGGGGACTGGAACCTAGCCCAGGACCACACCATGGACAAAATTTCCAATGCGATCGACAACTCCCAGGGGGCGATTGGCCAAGAGTT